AGGTTTAAGTTGGACATCAGGAGGCGCTACTTCACGGTCAGGGCAGCTAGAGTCTGGAACCAGCTTCCAAGTGAGGTGGTGCAGGCTCCCACCCTGGGGGTTTTTAAGAGGAGGTTGGATGACCACCTTACTGGGGTCATTTGACCCCAGTGCTCTTCCTGTCATGGCAGGGGGTCGGACTAGATGATCTGCTCAGGTCCCTTCCGACCCTAGAAACTATGGAGTTGGTGAAAAACTCTCCTAGCCACTGCTGCAACTTGAAGATCCAGGTACAGCAAACAATTTAAGAGCACCTGCAGGCTGCAAACCTGAGTGACAAGGAAAGACTGAACCTCAATGATAGATGCCCTCTGCCCAGTCATGTGGTCTGTCCACCACTGTCACCTCCGTCTGGATTCGGATTTAAGCGGTTCACCTGTACCCAGTTTTGAGCTGCAGCCAGGCACAGGAAAGGACTGAGACTGTGGTGCTATGGTCAGAAGAAAAGGAGCTGGGTATCATTAGCATACTGGTGGCACCTCACTCCAAATCTGCACGCAGTCTTCCCCAACGGCCTCCTAGATATATTGAACAGGAGAGGTGACAAGCTGGAGCCCTTGGGGACCCCATAGGAAAGGTCCTGAGGGGTTTATGAGCACTTGCCCCTCACCGCCCTCTGGCACTTCTCTGCTAGGAAGGAGTGGAGCCAGTTTAGAGCTGTTCTGAGAATACCCGCCAGCTCACGCAAACAATATATTAGTGCCTCATGGTCAACTGTATCAAAGACTGCTGAAATTTGGACTAAGATCTGCAGAGCACAATTTCCCTTGTTGATCTCCAGGCAAAGATCATTGACCAAGGTTATCAGTGCAATCTATTTGTTATATTCAGGGTGAAAGCCAATCTGACACGCATCCAGGAAACTGAAGTTGTCAGGCAACTACCCATCACCCAACAGGGTAGTGTTGGTGCTGATCCTAGAAGATTAAGCTCATGGGACCAAGAGTAAGGAAATCTTCTTTTCCTACCTGAGAAATACTTAAAACACTTTTGGAAAACTAGTTTTCTCACATTCTATTTATGAGTGTCAGCAGGTTAGTAATTATCTGCAAAACACACTGTTCCCAGAGACTAAATGAACGTGTGCCTTTTTAAAATGATTCCTTTATCCATTATAGTTCACATCAACTTCTGCAATTCATATTTAACGGAACTAAGCATGGACTGTTTTTAATTTCATTCACTCTAAAAATCTGTTTTCTTAACAGAATCACTAAGTACACTGGAAGACAAAGACCTGGATGCTTTAATGGCTGATCTGGTAGCAGACATAAATGAAGCTGAACAGAAAACATTACAAGCACAGAAGACAGCTTCTGACCACCAGCAAAAAAAAGCCACTGAGTCTTCAATGGGTTTTGAGACTATTGCTTCTTATGAATATAAACCAAGTACTCATGGTATTACCACTAGTGGACCTGTTGGGGATGTCTTGCCCCCTCCACCACTAGAATCTGAATTAGACCTCCCACTACCGCCACCACCACCACCTGCTCCTGAGCCACTCACTCAGGTAAGAGTCAATGGAGCTTCATCACAGCCACCCCTGCAGATTTTGCTGCAGTCATGCAAATGACATTTGAGTAGGGATGAGAGTAACTATCCACAAATGAGCATCTGTTTTAGCAGTAAAATGCCCTAAGTTCTTGAATGAGATGCTCAGTACAGGGGAGTATGTAACAGTAGCCATTACCCATTCCCACTTGGTATGAAATAGTCTGTAGTGATATCCATAGTTGAACACACATCTTGATAGAGCTTCAGAAAGATTTGATAGCTATTACACAGAAGCAAGTACAGCCATTGGGATCTGTGGCAGCCAGGTCCCAGAGTTTCTAGCCATTGTGATAGTCAGAGCCATCCCTAGGGCTGTGCAGGGGCCAGGGCATATCAGCCTGTGCAGGGTCTATGAGTAGCGAGCGGCTCGAGTGCGGAGCCGGCAGCTGCAGCAGAGCCTTTACGGCACTGTCCACAGGGCCTCCCAAGGTGCAGGGCCCGGGGCAGTCGCCTCCATTGCCCCCTCTCTCCCTCTGCCCCAGGATGGCCCTGGTGACAGTAGCTCTGAACAGATATGCAACAGTGCAGACTCATTGCTGAAGGCTGTATCTTGTCCTTTTCTTTCCTCCCCACCTCATAATCATAAAGTATTCATGCCCTTCCCACCTAAGACTAGTCGTTGGGGTCTGAAAACAGGGACTGCAGATCCCTCAGTGATTTGGAAGACCCCAAGTTAGTTTAGTCGTCTGGGTTACAGCTACTGATGGTATAGTACTAGGGATGCGATTAGTTCGTATCTAGCTAGCAGCTTGCCACTTAGTTCCTGTGCTCAGCCAGTGTGACTTCTGGCCATAGAAGAGCTTGCTAAATGCATCATAGTCCAGTAAAACAAACACAGGGCTGAGAAGGTTAGCATGTCGAGTTCCATTTTGATCATAGGCAAAGGAAGAAAATATTATTTCAGGGGGCTGGTAAGTCCGTAGAGAGAAAGGGGCATGGGGTGGGGTGGCAGATTGAGGCCCCCACAGTGAGGGAAGGAGTGGGGCAGGGGCAGGGGCTGGGGCGAACGAGGCCACAGGACAGGTTGTGGGACTGTTGGAGCGTGGGTGGCTCATGCAGGGTCATGGGAGCCTCCTGCTGCGGCACACCCTGGGGGGTATGTGCCCGCTGGATTTGTGCGCAGGGTGGAGGTGGGGCTGCCACTGTGGGCTGGAGCTCTGCACCCCATTGCCTCAGGAGCCACGTGCAGCGTCATTTGTTTGCCACTGCCAGGCTGTGCCATGCCCCCTGCCCACCTAGTGGTGGCAGCAGACGCATGTTGTTGCGCACAGCTCCTGAGACAGCAGCAGTGGGGCACAGAACCCCAGCCCACAGTGGCAGGCTGCCTCCACCCTGCACGCAAATTTGGGGGGGCACATGCCCCCTAGGCCTCCCCAAGTGCATAAGTCACCCACACTTTGACTGTCCTACAACCTGCCCTGGGGTCCCATTCACCCCAGTTCCTGCCCTACTCCCTCTGTCACTGTGGGGGCTTCGATTTGCCTCCCTCCCATGCTCTTTCCCCTTCACAGACTTGCCTGCTGTGGTGGGCAGCGCTCCACATGCTGCCAGTCCGTGATCCTGGATGCATGCAGGCTGCAGCTCTGTGTCTGTCTATGTGTGTGTATGCATGCCGTTCCCCCCCCACCCGCATCCACTGCAGCTACCCAGAGCTCACGCGCAGGCTGCCTTGTGGCCCTCTGTGCTGCCACTACTGCCCCATGTTTGGAGGGGCCTAAGCCCCATTAGCCCTGGCCTTCCACTGCCTATGATTTTGATCCCACCTCTGACAATAACCCTGTAGCAAAATGGCCTGTCTCCTTAAGGGGAAACAGCCAGAATAGCTGAGGGTCTGCAGCTGTGTGAAGGCTAATGAGGGAGTAGCTCACTGCAGATACAAAATCCTAACAAGCAAAATTCTAGAGAAGTGCAGAGGAGAAGCACCAGAATAGGAGACTGCTGGGTTATGAGGAAGGCAAGCCTGCTGTGGGAAGATTGGGGCTGCAGGGGACCCCTCCCAGCATCCAGAACAGCAAGGTTTTTCTTGTTAATTTGCTTCATTTATTAAAAGACTGTATATTACTGGGGTGTACTAAGCCAAGGAGAAAAGGTCAGCAAGTTTAAAAGACTCTTTGTTCCTGGGGTTGCTGAGAGATGTTCTGGTAGCAAAAGCCTGTTTGAAGATGCTCTGTGGCAGCAACCCTCTACAGACACTTTTTGCGTTTTTTGCTCAAATAATTTAGGGAAACAAACCAAAAAGGCTGTCTATAATATGGAGCAAATGCTATTTTCATACTATACAGGTGTGCACAAGTACTATTTAAGTGCCATTTATTAAATACTGTGCACATGCTAAATATCACCAGAATGCCAGCCCTATCCTCAGTGGCTGGTGGGGGAGCTGGGGTCTATGATGCCATGCATGCTTGTATCTCTTACAAATCTGTTTTAACCAATGGACTCTGTATACACCTACTCTAGTACAAGCAACTTGGCTCTAGTCCTCCAGCACGAAGTATGCAGGGAAAAATAACCTAATGATCCCCCAGATGCTAACATGTACACTTTGTGTATGAACTGAGAATGTTCCATTAGTAGTGATGTATCAAAGAAATTTCATTAGGCCTCCCCAGATTCTCAGGCAAATCTTGTGTATCATAACCATGAGGGTGAGCAGTTGTATTTGGGAAGGGAAAGGCAAGAAGATGAAAAATTGTTCTTCAGGCCCACCCAAACTGCTACAGTCAGTTATGCATAAAAAGATGAACAGTTTATTACAATTCAAGAAGTTCAAAATATAACATAAAGGTAGCAGTGACATTGAGGTGATCCATTTCAGAGCACAAAGAACAAAAAATTCAGTGCAAGGTGAAACCAACTGATCATGCAAAGCAGGCAATTAGATGGATGAAACTGTATTGACTGCTTCGTGGGAACTGTCGGCATGCTGACCGAAATATGAAAGCCAGAAACATGTGGGAGGAACTTCACTTTGCCTTTCTGTAACTCAGAGATGACAGTTACTTCTATATTTTTAAAACAGTAATAATGCTTGTGAAATGCAGTAGACTGCTTTAAAAGCTAAAGTCTTTTATTTGACTTGTGTAGCAGATACAGACTAGGGAAGCCTCACTCACTAGCCCAAAGAAGTGCCCTCACCTTGTTTTGAGGAGACCATCTCTTTAGGGGACTCTGTGCACCCTGATTCAAAGCCCAATGTCAGTGGAGTTGTTTGATCTACCTCAGATGTCAAACATGGCCTGCAGGACCTGCAGCACTAGAACCCCAGCAGCACTGTGTTATATTCCTACAGTGGCATTCCTCAGGGCTCAGTACTTGGACCAGTGCTATTCAACGTGTTTATCAACGATTTGGATTCAGGTATTAAATACAAATTGGCAAAGTTTGCTGATGGCACCAAACTATGGGGGAGCATGGTCATGCTCCTGGACAGGCTGGTACTACAAGCCAACCTGGACAGGCTTGCAAGGTGGGTAGACTTCAACCTGATGTTGTTTAATACAGAGAAATGCAAAGTGCTCCATCTGGGGAGAAATAATCCACAATATGCTTACAGGCTTGGTAGTGCTATGCTAGCCAGCACCACAGCTGAATGAGACCTGGGTGTCATGATAGACAGCAAAATGAACATGATTTACCAGTGCAGTGCCGTAGCTGGCACAGCTAATCGAACCAAGGCATCTCGAGCAACGCTGAAGATGTCATCCTCCTGCTCTACTTGGGCTTGGTGAGACCACAACTGGAGTACTGCGTCCAGTTCTGGGTGCCGCACTTTAGGAAAGATGTGGAGAAGCTTGAGAGAGTCCAAAGGAGGACCATGTGCATGATTAGAGGCCTAGAGTCAAGGCCATATGAAGAGAAGCTGAAAGACTGTTCAGCCTAAAGAAGTGAAGACTTGGCGGGGACTTGGTGGCAGCCTACGAGTATATTGGGGGAATACTTCAGAGCCTGGGGGAGCAATTATTCACCAACGCCCCCCAGGGGAGGACTAGAAATAATGGGCATAAGCTGATTGAAGATCACTTCAGACTAGACATAAGGAAAAACTTCTTTACTAGTTGAGTATTGAGGGTTTGAAACAGACTCCCCCAAGAAGTGGTACAGTCGCCCACTCTGGCAATCTTCAAAAAGCATCTTGATGTCCATCTTGTTGGGGTCATCTTGCTCAAATCATAGCCAGGGTGAGGTAGGACAGAGCCACAAGTGGCTTATCCGGGGGCGGGGGGCACACACGCCAGCAGGGCGTTGGTGGGGGCACACCCCCAGAATTCTGCGGGGCAGGGCAGGCCAGGATGCAGCTTCCAGCTGGGGCCGGGCTGTTCCTAGAGGAGGTGGTGCTAGGAGTGGGGCTATGTGGGGCTGCAGCCACCTGGAAGTTTGCTGTAGCCCCCACCAACCCTCTCCCAGCGCTGCCATCACCTGGCTTGACTGCAGCTGCCAACCTCCGCCAGGAACAGCCCAGCGCCGCCTCCCAGTGAGCAGTGGGCTCCCAGCCTGTCTTCCCCTGCACAAATCTGGGGCACGCAGCCCCCATGCTCTTGGGGGCAGGGGGGGGAAGGGGCTGGGAGTCAGTGCCAGGCTGTTCCCAGCAGAGGCTAGGAGCTGTGGTCGGGCTGGATGGTGGTGACACTGGGAGAGGGTTGGAAGGACTACAACAAATTTTCAGGTGGCTGCAGCCCCTTATGGCCTCACTCCCAGCACCGCTGCCATGCAGCCCCAGCCTTCACCAGGAACAGACCGGCTCCAGCCAGCGGCTGCAGCCCATCCTACCCCATGCAATTTTGGGGGCACACACCCCCTCCCCTCATGCTGTCCTGGGGTGCATGCCCCCCCATCCCACCCCACCCCGGCTGCTCAGGGCCTGCTCCAGCCCCACTCCCTCCCTCACCGCTGCTGCTCCCCCCAGTCTGTGCGCGGAGGAGGTGGTTCCCACTGCAGGCTGGGCTTCGCACTCCAAGCCCCACTGCAGCTGGCCTGGGAGTGGCTGGACGCACCAGAATTCACTGGGGTGCACACAGCAGTGGGAGCCACCCCTCCTGCTGCTGGATGTGATGCCCAGGCTCAATCCTCCCACCACCTGCCTGGCCATGGCCCCACTTACTGGGCTGCTTCTGCACTCTGTCCCTCATCGTGGGAGCCTATATCTGTCCCCTGCCCCTTCCCTTGCACACACATGCTCAGCCCCTCTAGCCCAAGATTGACTGCAAGAGGCTCCAGGATTGATGGGTCAATCCCGATCAACTGGTTGGTGTCCACTGCTGTACAGCATTCTAGAGTACTCTTATCTGGAAGAAAATACAGGCTGTTTGAGCCACAACAGTTGAGTGTTGGATCAACCCAGAATCCCTTATGGAAAGACTTCATATCCTTCTATCCTTGTTTCCTCCCCACAATATTCCTGTGAGGTCAAGTGCATTTCCAGGCTCCAGGCAGTGTTCGCTCTTGTCCTCTGAGAAGCCAAGTGCTCTGCCAAGCAGATGGAGGTTTATTGCCAAAGAATCTCTGTTCAGAACTGTGTCTGCAACTGGCCACCAGGCACGTGGAACTTCACAAAAATGCTTCCTTCCTCTTCCTCCTTACTGGAGAAAGAAGATGTTCACATATTTAGATAGCCAGTCAATTGTGGCTTGCTAGTATAGTGCTGTTGTATAGTGTTATTAATCAAAGGACAGTGTAAATGACAGCAGGAATAAATGCATTAAAAATTGATTAAATAAAGATGTTCAGCCAATGAATATTTTCTTTGATGTGATGCAATGTGTTTAGTACTGCCAAATGCAGGTGTAATTAGAAACTCTTTGCTTGTAACACTTCATAGCCCCTTTAGTCAAAACATTTGATTGGTAGTCTTCCAACAAATCAATATTTGACATTTTCCTTAATACTGTTGGGTATCTTTAGATTAAAGAGTTAGTTGCTCTCATATCTCCGGTATTAGGGCTATGTCCTTTAAAAATGCTGAAATAAAAAAGAAATACAACAGTTCTTCCAAAGAAACATAGAGTCTGTTTTTTATCAGCTCTGACATTTCTTTTTAAAATTGTCCTTAAGCTAAATAAGAGTTTTAGTTTTCTGATAGTGCTATGTGGATTAGATCTGTACATTCCTATTTGAAACATTGGAGAATCAGTTGATAAAAGTTTAGTAGAAAACAAATCTTGTCTAGTGTCAAAGTGTTTATTTAATGGTGACAAAAATATATTGCTAGCCTGATCACTTTTTTTTACTAGGTCTACTGGTTTCTTTATTTGCACCAATGTAAAGGCAAAGGTTATGATGACTAAGTGCCCTTAGGTGGGGAGAGAAGCCTGTTGCAAAGTTTTGTTTTTGTATGATCCTATTTCAACATGTATTAATTTACAGGTGAAGAAGTCTGGTATACACATTTTCCAGCTAGTCAGCAAGAAGCCAGACTACAGAACCACTTTTTATTTATGTATTTATTTATTTATTTACATCTTTTACTTGACTCCTGCAGCGAGGTATTTGGGGTAGAAACTATATTCTGATAGCGTACATATCTCTCACTGCAAAACCTCAAGCCTTATTAAAATACCTGTGGTCAAAGAAACTATTTTTAAGTTGTCAGAGTTAGTTACCCTGAGCTGTAGTGCCATAAAGATGCAAATTCCCATGAACTGTTATTTTGACCTTCACAGCTAAAAGTCTGAGTTCAGTAGTCATATATGCAGAAGTTGGGGTGGGAATTGATTGGGTTTGTTTGTTTTTTTAACCTTTCATGCTTTGCATATTGACATCCTAATGGATTGGCATCATGGCAGCATCAAGAGGGAATAGTTGCAGGAAACATTAGGACAGCCAGAAAGATAATAGTAAGTAGCTCTTCTCTGTGAGGAGGTCTTCACAGCAATGCTAAATTAGTCTCACATGTCTCTTGTAAGTGTAGTCCCCAGGAGTTTACAAACAATCTCATTCCCCCACCACCCCCTAGCCCCCTAGTTCTAGGATAAGGGCTGTTTCACTTGGAATAGTGACTCCAAAAGCTTTCAGACTGCAAGTTTTGATCCAGCTACCATAGGAACAAAAGCCTGCCCCTTCTGAAATAAGCCTGTGGAGGTTTAAAAAAAAATACTAGGGACAGGAAAAAGCTAGTCAAAAGCTATAAATTCTTCCCAAAAAGGAAAAGAAAAAGCAGAGCAGAGACTGCTCTGTGTCTAGGGAGTTGATATTGAGTGTTTGAGGAGAACTGGGGTCATCTGGCCCCAGCACTCTTTCCTGCCCAGGGCAGGGGGTCGGACTCGATGATCTAATAGGTCCCTTCCGACCCTAATAACTATGAAACTAAAGGTCTCGTGACTGAATTAGTTGCACACAGCAGCATCAGAAGTCACAGCTGGTTGCAGCCTAGACGTAGCTCCCAATAAAGAACTCAGAAAGAAACCACATCAACCACACGGTGGAAAAAAACAGTAACCCTCAGCTGTCACCTGGAATCCTGCAGCAAATGAGGATCCAGAAGTCCAGATTTAGAACTACAGAGTTCTGTGGCAATGGGAGCAAGGCATGTCGGTCAGTCATAAGAGCAGACACCATCCCCAAGCCAACTCCTATTGAAATTAGTGGGATTCTGACTACTGCATAAGTCTGAATAAATAGGGGAGACCCTTCTGCTTCAATCTGTGATTGTGGCCATGTCACTGTCTGGCAAGAAATCTATGGCAAAGCAACAAGGAGACTTCCATCTTGTGAATCAGAAGACAGCATTACACACCAGCTAAGCCATGGGAAATCCCTCTTTTCTGTATAGTTAAGATCTGTGACAATTAAGTTTCTTTTGACAGGCCTGGTGACAATGGTATAAAATAACTTGGAACAGCTGTTTTTAAGATAAAAACAGCAAAGTTTAATGAATATATTACTGTTGTTTCAGGAACAGCAGGAGGCACAAGCAAAAACAGACAAGATTAAACTTGCACTGGAAAAACTGAAGGAAGCTAAGGTTAAAAAGGTAGGACTTTAAACACTGAAAGTCTAGTTTAAGAGCTTATAACTTAATATTTGCCATTGCTCCCTGTAATACAATTATTTATGTTATTAGGCTTATTTTATATGAATCTTTAGATATTACAAAATATCCTTTTCTGTCACATACTAGAAAAACAGTATTCCACTTCTCTACTTCTAAATTAGTTGTGAAACTGCTTGGAAAATTTCTAATAATTTGTTTCCAAAATCTAGACAAAAGCAATAATCCAGATAACTTTCTTCTAAGGAATTGAAATCCCTGACAAAATATTAGATCATAGCCCTCTGATATAAAGAACATTAATCCATACTCTTTCAAAACAGGACACATGGGGCACTTTTACACATGCTCTGGGGCTGGGGGGCAGCACTTTAATTGGAGTGGCTCCAAGACCAGCTCTAATTAAAGCACTGCAGCATCTTGTGTATCGGTGTCTCTGTGCTTCAAAATGACAGTGGGGTGCTTGAACTAAAGCTTGTTTAGCAAGCTTTAGTTCAAACACCCCTGCCACCATTTTGATGCACGGGGACACTGATACACAAGATTCAGAAGGCTGCTGAAGCGTGGCAATTACTGCTGGTGGAGTGTGGTAATTACAGCACATTGGAGCAGCCTCCACAGTTGTGTACAGGCACTCATGGATTTAGTCACATTGCTCTTCTTAATGTTACTGGGGTCTTATTGCCAATTCTCATTGTGTCATTTTGAGAGGAAGGCAGTACAAAAAGGCTCAACTTTCATGAAGACTGGACCAGCTAGGGGTTGTGCTGTTCTTGACTTACTGCTCACAAGCAGGTAAGAATTGGTGGGAGAAGTAGAAGTGGATGGCATCTTAGGCAGCAGTGACTACAAGATGATTGAATTCAGGGTCCTAACAGAAGGAAGGAAGGAAGGAAGCAAGCAAGCAAGCAAAGGACCCTGGACTTCAGAAAAGCAGAAACTTAGACACCTTCAGGGAACTGATGGGCAGGATCCCCTGGGAGGCAAGTCTGAGGGGGAAAGGAGTCCAGGAGAGGTTGTATTTTAAAGAAACCTTACTGAGAGTGCAGGAAAAAAACATCCCAATGTGCAGGAAATGTGGCAAGACACCAGCTAGGCTTAGCATAGAACTCTTCGAGCTTAAATGGAAAAAGAAAGTTTACAAGAAGTGAAAGCATGGACAAACAACTTGGGAGGAGTGTAAGAATATTGCTCGGGCATGCAAGGATGAAGTCTGAAAAGCCAAAGCACAATTCGAGTTGCAGCAAGTAATGTTAGCAACAAGACAAAGGTCAGGGAAAATGTGAGTCCCTTACTGAACGAAGAAGGCAACCTTCTGACAGAGGATGAGGAAAAAGCTGAAGTTGTTGTCCCTGTGCGTCTGCCCCTTACTCTCAAGCCACCACCTGCCCAGCCCTGCTGCTGCTTCTCCCTCCTGACCCACAGTACCCCGCGTCCTGCGAGGGTGTATGGAGACCCCCTTCTCCAGGCTCCAACCCCTCCCCCCCAGATACACACAGCTCCTGACACCTTCACAAATAACCCCTCCCTCACCCTTTCCCCCCACCACACACACACTTAGAGAATAGCATCTCATGATTTACATGCCAATGTCTTGATTTTTTTATTTATTTATGTATTTTTATTTTTTTAAGAGTGTGTCTCATGATTTTTGGCACGGTGGGGTTGGTAATACTGCTTAATATCTTGACTTTAGCAAGGCTTTTGATACTGTCTCTCACAGCATTCTTGCAAGCAAGCTGGGGAAGAATAGGTTGAATGAATAGACCATAAGGTGGATAGCAAGCTGGCCGGATTGTCGGTCTCAACAGGTAGCAATCAATGGCTCAGTGTCTAGCTGGCAGCCAGTATCAAGTGGAGTACCTCAAGGGTAGGTTCTGGGGCTGGTTTTGTTCAATGTCTTCATTAATGATCTGGAAGATGGGATGAAATGCACCCTCAGCAAGTTCATGGAAGACACCAAGCTGGGAGATACAGTAGATACACTGGAGGGTAGGGCTAGGATTCAGAGTGACCTAGACAAATTGGAGGATTGGGCCAAAAAAAATCTCATGAGGGTCAGCAAGGACAAGTGCAAAGTCCTGCACTTAGGGTGGAACAATCCCATGCACTGCTACAGCCTGGGAACTGCCTGGCTAAGCAGCTTCTTTGCAGAAAAGGATCTGGGGGTTAGTGGACAATAAAATGGATATGAGCCAGCAGTGTGCCCTTGTTGCCAAGAAGGCTAACAGCATACTGGGCTGCATTAGTAGAAGCGTTGCCAGCAGATTGAGGGAAGTAATTATTTCACTCTATTCTGCACTGTTGAGGCCACATCTGGAGTACTGTGTCTAGTTTTGAGCCCCCCAGCATAGAAAGGATGTGGACAAGTTGGAGAGGGTCTGGCAGAGAGCAACAAAAATGCTTCAGGGGCTGGGGCACATGACTTATGAGGAGAGGCTGAGGGAACTGGGCTTATTTAGTCTTGAGAAGAGAAGACTGAGGGGGGATTTAATAGCAGACTTCAGGTCCCTTCTGACCCTAACAACTATGAAACTACCTGAAGCGGGGTTCAAAAGAGGATTGAGCTAGACTGTTCTCAGTGGTGGCAGATGACAGAACAAGGAACCACAGTCTCAAGTTGCAGCAAGGGAAGTTTTAGGTTAGATATTAGGAAAAGCTTTTTTACTAAGAGGATGGTGAAGCACTGGAACAGGTTACATAGAGGTGGTGGAATCTCCATCCTTGGAGGCTTTTAAGGCCCGTCTTGAGAAAGCCCTGGATAGAATGATCTAGTTGGGGATGGTCCTGAGGTCCCTTCCAACCCTAGATTTCTATGATTGTATTAGTTAGGGGTCTCGTTGCATGTTACACTTCAGAAGTTTTAACTGCTTAAAATGCCAGCATCTGCCTATTTTAAGCAGTAAAACACATGCTAAGTCCCATCATGTTGTAGCAAAGAGTATGGAGTATGTCTAAATGGTATTAAGTAACATATGTTCAGCTACCGTGAGACTGCTCTACAGAGATAATAAAAACAGTCCTCACTGGCTCCAGTTCTGTTTGTTGGTCCCAACCCTGGGACACCACTGGAGCCAGTTCAGGACTTTGGTGGGGATCGAGATTGACAAACAGCTGTTTATGGCTCTCAGCCCTGACACCATACTAAGGGGTTTGAACCAGCTCCTGTGAGGTGCAAGGGCTGGGACTTACAAACAGCTGTTTGTCTACTGCACCAGGCTCCAGCCCTGTCCAGAGGGCTAAGATCATAGTAAGCATTACCATGTGATGGCTCAGAAGACTTTCTGGCTTGTAGTAATGCTTACTATAATCTAAATAGAACGTGTCCTGAGTGTAA